GTGAGTTACGGAAACCACGCCCACTTTTGCGAAATCAAACTTCGAGTTACTGGCATTATACATTGTTTTTGTTGAACGTCCACATTCAGCAACTCGAACATTAATTACCAGTTACGGGCAACACAATCTGATTTTGTGTTTAATTATTTATTTTTATTATACATTTTCTTTTATTTTATTTTATCTTATTTTGATTTATTATTTATTTGCTGGCAGTTTTTTAAGAGTTTTGGTAATCTCAAAAACCCACGTGTGACGATAGTTAAAAAAAATACGGAATCAAAAATACGTAACAAAACCATAACAAAAATAATTAAAAAAATAGTAAAAGTAAGACAAATATAAAAAATAAAATACACACCGTACAATACATCAGATTTTAAACAGATTGCGGCAACATTTTTTGTTCTTTTTAACGTTCGAATTTAGTTATGCAATTTTATCGAATTGTGGTAAAATGACGTAATAGCGAAATGTTGATTTAGCGAATTGTTAATTTCTTTGTTTGGCGGCCATTTTGAATTTATAATAAAGTCATTCATTAGCGACATCTTGAATTAGCGAATCAGCTCTCTCGCTAAATTCGCGAAAAAGACATGTTTTACAGTACTTAAACTTCAATTAACAGTTAACTGACAACATTAAACCATACAAAATAAATTATGTTGGGATTAGGACGCCCAAGTGGAAGTCGATTGGGAATGTTTTGCGCATGGAGGCATCTTCAATCCCTCGAACTGCCTTAGGCGGGCCTCTGGTGGAAAGTAGAGAGCTAAGGGAGCCTGAAGAAATTATGCTGACTGCAGTTGGGGTTAACTTGAGCAGATTTCTGTGCAGAGAGGCGAATAGAAGGTTCTAATGCATTATTCAGCGCCAGGTCGCCTGCCTCACGTGTTAATTACATCATGTACATTTTTGGTGTTCATTATTTGACGATATTTTGGAATATCTGTCTTTTATAAATCAAAGCCGGGTATCTTTGTATAATGGGCAATCTAACATAAAGTAAAATTCATCTTCAATGGAACGTAGCTTCTCTTTCTTCGACAACTGCCGATGTCCACTCTGTCCAATGTCAAGTAAATGCGTTAATATGTATTAATTTATTTGTTTATTTTAAAAGAGGCATATAATTATATACAATAACATAAAAAAACTATTATTTTTTGGTTGATTATTCATCTCTAAATTAAATATACAAATAGATATATAGATATGCGTATAAGTTATCAATATACATAAATGTGAGAATATTATGACATGTTAGAATTTTAAAAAATGGGGAAGGCTGCTAAGACCGCTAAATGTAATAAATAGAATAAGCAGTAGGTTATTGTAGTTCTCGGACGATGCACTTTTCTCAATAGATAATCTGAATAGACACGTTAGAGTTGTCCAAGTTTTTATAAAAAAATTTACAGTACTCAAAGACAGTGATTCTCGGTTCTAGCAACTACGTCGTTCGACATTCACAAAAACCATATTATTTTTAAAACGACATGGCCGTCAAACCACGTCGTGTTCGATGTGCGTCCCATGCTACGCATACAACGCGTGAACGCAAAAACTCGCACGCGCGCTGAGAATCGGAAGCGCTGCTTTAAACTGTACAGAGTTTAAGAAATATATATTTACAACAATTTGAAGAAATAATTTCCTCGAAATGATTACACGCTGAAACTTTCACACAATGTTCCATAGCTTGGGGTTAGATATCGCGTCACCCGTGTCATATAATTTACTTTTCAACATATGAACATAGTCTGGCAAAAATATCCTGGACTTGGAGCAAAAACCGGAATCGATTATGAAAGAACCCGACCAATACGAAGAAGGTATTGTCAATGTAACTGTCTCGTTCGACGATACTTGTTTGCAGAACTGTAAGAACTTTGCGTTAATATCTCTAAAATAGCTAACTTCTTCAGAGAAGTTTATTTCCGATGAGACTTTCTTCCAAAACGTGCTGTTAAAATGTTCGTATAAACGGTGATCTACGGGACTGAATTTCTTGTATAGGTCGCGGTCCCCTGCACGTGTTACTGCTTTTACACGCCAACCAGCGTTTATCGGTATGTACAAGATGTCCTTTAAATCCCAGCACAGTAACCGTTTCATCAGCACAACTGATTCGTCAAAGTATTCCATTATCATCACCAATTTGTAATCGAAATCAAGTTTTTGGATAAATCGCCAAGCAGCTGTGACGTTATTCTCGTCCGCTGTTGGCAACCCGAGGTCGAAGGACATGAAGTTTTTCAAAAATTGAGGTTCTCTTTTACTCCATACTGTGTCGTGATGTTTTAAAAATGTGTGCAGAGGCGCAGATGTATTGGTTAAATTCAATGCGTCGGCGATTTTGAAAAACGAGAAAGCTGATTGGAATTGCATGAAAGGTTCTCGTATAATAGTTACGTACTGGGACTCAGGCGCCATTATGAAGTCAAAAAATGTCTTATTGTAGATAGTGTGTAAGAAAAACAAGTTGTACGCGTTTTGTGTTGGTTTTAAAAACATCATTTGTCTAGGAAGGTTTGGGTACGCAAGGTCATAGTCGCTGAACCTTGGTAATGCCATCGACAAGTTGTTCAGGTCACCGAAACGCATTATTATTTCCGATATCGTATCACTGCCCGTTTTGTGCGTTTTCAGGAACATCACATTTTTTGTTTTACGGCAGGTCTTTTCTCTCGTTGCTTCACTGTTTCCAGTAATGTCCTGCATTTGCGATATATGTGGCTGGTCTTCATCATTATTCTCTACTTCCGATTTGATAAATTCTGACATTTCTGTATCTGTAAAAACGAAATGAATTTAGAACGGGAGGTGCCCGTGATAGAGGTTCACCTCTGTTTTATTTGTTCGACCATGATTAAAACAACATACATAGTATTTTCTTCTGATATTTAGTAAAGGTACTAAGCCCAACGAGATGCTGAATTATTCGAGTTACGAACATCGAGTTACAAAAACATCGTGACCACGCCCATATTTCATAAACCACACCCACTTCTGCGACACCGCGCCCAAATTGTAACTCGATGTTCAATTACATCTAATAGTTAACAGAACTTCGAGTAACGGGCAACATAGATTTTTTGTTTTGTTTAACGTTGTATTAAAATTCAAGTCACTAAACTTGAACGTTAAATAACACAAGCAATCTATGTTGCCGGTAACTCGAAGTCGATTAACTGTTAGAGTTACTAAATGTGGACGTTAAACAACATTAGCAATTTATGTTGCCCGTAACTTTGGTTAACTGTTAATTGATCATCGAGTTCTAAATTGGGGCGTGTGGTCATTTTTGTAACTCTATGTTTTCGTAACTCGATGTTCAACTCGAACAATTCAGCATATCATTCTGTTTTATGTTTCCCGTAACTAGAAGTTCGGTTATGGGTTAATTGAAATTCGAGTAACTAAATACTGCTGATTGGGTTGCTTTCTCGCTCACAGTAACTTAATTAACCCCGCCAACTAATCAATGTGGATTAATTAGACCAACAATTTGTAGGTACTAATTATAACCACAATAAAATACTGTAAAATACTTTATTTTCGCCTGGAATTATTTTTGCTATTTTCGCTGCATGAATGAGTCAGTGAAAATAAAATCCAGCGAATATGCCTTTTTTCCTATATTTTACATTCAACTCACCAAACATCAGTGAAAATAAATTCCATACAAACACCTAAAATGTATTTTCAGCGAAAATTAATTCTAGCTAAAATAAAGTATTCTACAGTAATTGTTATTCAACATTACTAGTACACAATCTCTCACTCTCACTCACTCTCTCTCACTCACTCTCACTCACTTACTCACTCACTTGCAAAAGTGGGCGTGGTTTATGAAAAATGGGCGTGGTCTTTTTTGGAACTTGATGTTTTCGTAACTCGATGTCCGACACTAGAACATATCAGCATCTCAAGTTCAACGCTCCTAAATTAGAAAATGGCGCAACTGATTTGCATCGAAAATATCATTTCAGTAAGGGGTCAACCATTTGATATCATGGGATGACTGGAAGAGAGTTTGAGAAGCTTTTTCCTCGCTGTCTATATTGCAATTTTCCAACCACCCCTACGATTTCAAATGGTTCACTCCAAGACATGCCCACGCACTCTGCTTTGCACGTACTCGTGAATAAAATTACGCTACAAATTCTTGATATTTGCTGAATGACAAAGAGCGAATTATAAGAGCAGGTATCCAAACTTATTTCCAAAAAATCTATGGTTTTGATTTCCCTTATAGCAGTATTTAAATCTCTGCTCTAGTGGCAATTTTGAATGTAACACAAAGATGATAGCTCCACTAACGAGTTCGGTTCGCCATTTTTGTCTTCGAGTTTTCTAAACAAACAAAGTTACACAGGATTTCTAATGTAGAAATATGATGTCACTGAAATGACCAAACATGCACAATGATATACACTTACCAATCAGGGTTGTATTAACTGTAGTGTTGTACTCGTCATTCGACAATAATGTCCTATGAAAAATAGCATTGCGTAGGAAATGGGTATTAAATGTGCAGCGAAAACATGCAAGTATCAATCAAGATCGCAGTAGCGTTTCAATTGTATGCGTTTTACTTATTTTCCAATCCAAATTTGAAGCTCTTTTGGAATTTCCACATACTTTAAAGGGCGTTGGCCGTCGCGCAGCGCTTGTTCGAATTTCATGTAAACAAGCAATACATATATATCACACGCGTTGTGTACGTTGCTATGAGTCCCATATCAAACACGACGCGGCGCGACGACCACCGCCCTTTAATGGTTAGTCGCATCGATTCTAAAAACATAAAAAGTAACAAAACAAAAAAACAATACCTGTTTTTAATCACACTGCCGAGATGTTTCCAGCTGATAGGCTGCATATTATTCTGGAAATGTTTGTCGTAGTAATTTTCAAACGCCAACACTTGGTACCATATATAGAACACGGTGATCGTGCTAAGTAACGTCATTGCCCGCTGATTGTCAAAGTGGGGAAGTTTTCTGTGAACGAATGTAAATAACGCATTTAAAAGAACTTTCCACGTGATGTTTTATTGAATACTAGTACATGGATCATATTAAACGCAGCTTCTAGCATTGAGGGCGTTTCAAAATTTAAATGACTAACGACTTGCATGAGGATAAAACGGAATAGTCTAATGTTATAAGTGCGAACAGAATGAATGTGTGAGTGAGTAAGTGAGTGAGTGAGTGAGTGAGTGAGTGAGTGAGTGAGTGAGTGAGTGAGTGAGTGAGTGAGTGAGTGAGTGAGTGAGTGGGTAAGTAAGTGAATGAGTGAAGGAATGAGTGAGTGAGTGAGGGGTGAGTGAGTGAGTGAGTGAGTAAGTGATTGTGTACTAGTAATGTTAAATAACAATTATTTCATTGTGGTTATAATTAGCACCTGTTCTAATGGAACATGGAACAGCTGGAAGGGTTAAATAAGTTACTGTGAACGAGAAAGCAAAAATGGCCACATCCATATTTTAGAAACTACGCCCATGTTTGCAAAACCACGCCCTAATTATAACTCGATGTTCAATTAACAGTTAACCAAAGTTACGGGCAACATAAATTGCTAATGTTGTTTAATGTCTACATTTAGGCAAACACATAAATTTGTTGTTTTGTTTATCGATTTATGTTTCACGTAACTCGAAGTTCGCTTCATACTTAATTAAAATTCGAGTTAGAATTTGCACGTGTTTTTTTTTTCAAAAGTGGGCGTGGTTTCTAAAATATGGACGTGGTCATTAGTGTAACTCGAATAACTTAGCATCTCAACCCCATTGCGATGTAGCTCAGTGTTTTGTTAACAGAATACAATATTAATAGTTCAAATGTAACAGTGTGTAATGGTAAGCTAATACTAATATTGCTACTTTGTTAGCAAAACAGTGAGGTATATGCTAATACTACTGGTTGAGTTGTTCACAGTAAACCACTTGTAATCAAAACAAAAATGTGCAGCCCCGTCTAGAACACAGTCTGGCCAGTTAGAACATCGATTCTGTGTTTCAATGAAAACAAAATAACAGACAAACAGATGCTTGTTCGGAAAAATATAGGCTTGACCGAGATTGTATGTCAAATGCACAGCTGTGGCTAACAAACACTCGTGATGCTTTGTAGTTTATCGTTGTGTTTACTAGTTTTACTTGGGTGGGGTCAGTTAATTCCGATATCTACCACTTCAATAAATTTTTAAGTGAACTGACCATCGTTACGATAATAGCTGTACGATAGCTGAGACTCAAATCATGGGTCGGTTGTATTAACACCCTAATCATGGATCACACGTAGTTTTGCGCAATGTGAACAGCGCGCATCGCTTATTTTACTGTATCTCACACAACCAAAGAACGAATATAATTGGCGAAGTCTATTATGTACGATATGGCTGCCAGGACGATAGCCACTTACTATACCTTAGCGCAAATGACTTCCAGTTATAGTCAGACATTATGCTCGCTCTCACGGTTTCATTATATTCCTGTTCCATGGCGTTGACTGTAGCGTAGACGAGTGATTGTTTTCTATTTACCAGCTCTATCCAGCGCGACATAATGTGGTTCCTAAATCTTGGTTACTGCGTCACGTGTGCTGAGAATAGCGTTCACACGAGATACGTATGCCAGTTGTGACTCGCTTTGTCGATCTCTTGTGCTGGTTATGTGGCGTCCCGATTATCTGAATCGAGTCATGTGTTCGTGTAAACGCGTCTACGGTTGGCGTCATCTTGCAATCGGCATATTAATAAAAAAAAAATCAGTGGCAGCTTGTCAGTTGTTATGCAAATGAATTCACAGCGGATTAAAGATAAAATTACACTGACTATAAAGCCCGGGGTGAACTGTGAATCAGAGCATGGAGGCTTTTCTACCTCCATGATCAGAGTTACATGCAGCATATCGCGAAAAGCATTTCGTAGCGTCGACTGCCAGCACCACCACACCATGTACGTCTTTTGTATCCGGTAACCGAGAAGGTACACACGTTCAAGTTATATACGTCGCTACGAATCCCATAACGAAAACGACAGGGTGCGACGACCACCATCTTTGAAATAGGGCTATTGCCGCTTCTTCATAGGTGTGTCTTGAACTCGGGGTCCTGGCCTAACCTTTTTTTTTACATGTAGAGGTCAACACAATGAGAACGTCACTATTCCAATACATCGCTTAGTGTCGGCACTGCTACAGTGTTGTATAAAATTTTGCATTTTGGATATATTACATGCCAACAATATCACCGTAGATTTAGTAAACGTCAATTTGGCCACGTCTGTTTGGGCGTAGTAGTGGATATTTTACGTTTAACCTGGGAAACATAAATTGGGGGAAATAAGTGACTGTCTTAAACTTGTCGGACCTAATTTAAAATATCCTTCTGTACATGGATCGTACCATGACGCATGGATTGTGACAGGAACACTATTTGGTTTTAGATTACCTAGTATAAGTATTCCATCAGTAATAAAAAAATAAATATCAAAATATAAACAAAAATCAGCGTCTTTAAAGTGTCAGGCGAAACTATATATATCTACAAAGAAATGCCAATTGAATTAGAATCTACAAAGAAGTGACCAATTAGAAAAAAAACAACGAAAACCTGCTTAAAAACAATACGTTATTTAGCGTCTTTTCACGTGGATAGCCATAATACAGAGAATGAATAGCCATGCAAAGTTTGTAAGGAAAAGGTCGGTGATCGGTGCCTGTGCAAAGTTTTGATATTTATAATTTATATCACTGCATTGTTGTACAGGAGGGTGACTGCTAAAAAACGTTCAAAAATAAAATAAATGAGACTTATAAATGAATAAATAAATAAATGCTGGTCGCGTTCTCATTGACGCGCCACTGCGACGAAGGAAAGATGTTCGTCGCTTGATGGCGCCCTGTTTCAGTCAAACGCGCCAGTCAGTGACGTAAAATCGAACTCGCGCATTGAGCTACAGGGAGGTCGATCGTTCTAAACATTCTCATCTGATTCTACGAGTTCCAGGTGCATTCGTATCACATTTTTGTACGGAACTGCTGTTAGAGCCGCCACACTATATCGTGCTGTAACCGCCCTGCAGCGTAGACTATACGCACGAACGGCTTTTTTGAAGGCCTATGTGTACAGTGCAAAGTGGTTTCTGCGACGATTTAGTGTGGTGACGTACTTGGACTCCAATTGGATGCCCGCTTTGGATTGGTAGACCCAGGGTTTTAGATATCACCATTAGAATGGAAGGCACCCGGGCGCAAACTGTAACGAAGGAACTATCGTCGCCGATCCCATCCCCTCGGCGTGATGCGATTGACCCTGAAGCCAAAAAACAACAACTCGCTAGATTTCTACGAGATTCCGACAACTATGTTGGACGCTACACCGTGTCACCGTCAGAATCATCCAAAGAAGATTACGCCACTCGTCTCACACAACTGTCCTCTAATTTGAGTTTCCATAACGATTGGTTTTCTGACAACAAGAGTGAGTCGTCAGTTTCACTCGGAGAAACACCTTTGTACGACGTTGAGGGTAGTATAACGACTTTTAGGTCAACTACAGGGACCGACTCTCAATCAGTTACATCTTTACCGAATCGCCACAGAACAGCCACACACCGACGAAAACTGATTTCTCCTTCCGTGTCCAGCGAAAAAACTGTGAGTGATGAGTGTACTGACTCGTGGACACTGATATCAGACCGTTCATCTAGACATTCTGCTATAAATAGCTTGTCAGACAGCGACTTGGATGAATCGATTATAAGTCTCGTGTCTTCGGAGTTGTCCGATGGTTCCGATTCATGTACGACTATATCCGACAGTTCCAACTCGTGGACGACAATATCCGAGGACTCAAGTTGTGATGATGAAATTGAAAATATGATGCGACGTAGGAGAAGAAATATATCGTACGCCAAATCTGCTCCTCACGTATTACCGTACACGTTACAAACAAGAACGGAGCAAATGAATAAGGAAATGAACGTGATGCGCGCACGTTATCGTAATTTATCTTTTGGGGGAAGACCGGAGTGGAACGGGAGCATGAGCATAAAGTCCCACTCTACTGGTCTCAGAAAGGTCATTCATCCAAAACCAACATATCGATCTACCGTATCTATGAGTAACTATGGCAACAACATTAAATATCGTCCCACATACTTTAAACGCAGTACTCTGCGTCCAAAGTATGAGCTGTTTTTGAAGAACCAAAAGAAGAGGCTGTCAGCACTTGATTTGAACAGTTCGATATCTACCAGTAGAAAGTATGCGTCGTTTTTAAAGAACAAAACCAAGATGTCAACAGATAATTCGATCAATTCCCCTTCAACGAGCTCAAGATATGCTTCATTTTTAAAGAACAAAAACAAGATGTCAACATATGACGATTCGATCAGGTATTTTTATACGAGTACACCAAAACCAACGAGAGGTAGTACTTTTCACCGCGACGTGTCTCGCGCCAGACGAGATGAGCACCGACCTTGGAATCGGACCAATGAACGTATGTTCTCTCCAGTTAGCGATACCCCACTTTATTTGTCTAACATCGAAGGAACATTTTCCTCCAGTTATAACCACAATCCTCTTGAATCGATGATGGCGCCCTCTCTCGGTTTTGTCGGACCATCAATTTCTTCGGAGGCGTTATTCTTGCCGCTCTCTGACAATGCATATTGTAGCGACGAACGATCATATAATTTTGAACCGGCGCTCTCTGCCGGTAATAGTTATCGTTTTGTTTCTTCGCGTTTCAAATAATGTTCAAAACGAGAGCTTAGTATACTAGTAATAAATGTGACTAAATTTCTATAAATGAAATAAAATGAATCTACATATACATGTTAATTTGAGTATAATTTAGACTACCGTCCCTTTATATGCAATACAGTGGACACGGTAGCAGCAATTTAATTAAGGGGCAGTGGTCGTCGTGCCGCGTCCTGTTCGATATGGGACACATAGCGACGTATACAACGCGTGTAAAATACATTGTTTCAGGTGCAGCCAACTGAACGAGCAATAAATTGAAATACATGTAGTCAATTCTCTGGGACAACATTCATTTTATGGGCCTTTTGAAGTATGCTAATTAATATAATGGAAAGAGAGGAAATTAGCTGTTCATAAGCTATCCCCCACCTGAAAAAAATTGTCTTTCCCTCCTGCTGACCAAATTCATCTTTCCCCTGCCCTCATTAAAAAAACACTTTTTCGCCTACTCCCCTGCCGCCAAATTGCCTTTCTTTCCCTCCTGCTGATTAAATTCATCTTTCCTCACCCCTCATTAAAAAAAAAACTCTTTTTTTGCCTACCCCCTCCCTGATTGGTGGCGTAATTCATCGAGTCATTGGCTTCTACTGGGTTTCTTGAATACATTAACCACTCAGCAGATCAGTGGATGACTCGCATTTTCAGGTATTGATAGCACACGGCTGCCCACATTTAGCAGATGTTATTTTCCCAAATGCGTTTTTTATTATACCCTGTCCTAAAGGCTGTTTTGCCCCCCCCCCCGCAATATTTTTTTTATGTAAGTAAGCATTTTTTAGAACTGCCGTCACGGTGCCCATTGGGGGGGGGGGCTGATATTTCCCGCCCATACAAAAAAAATAGAAAAAATCCCCTGCCCTCAACAAAAATTCTTTTCCGATGAACAGCTCCATTGGTTGCACCTATTGTTTGTTTACATGAAATTCGCGCGGCGACTGCCGCGGCCGCGGCTATTTATCTTTTAGTTCAAATGCATGACATATATCATCTTTGCCAGCCAAGGACCATTTATTCGACCGAAGCCTCAACATTAACTCGGTTATGAATGGCCGGCTTTAGCAAAACCGCGCGATTCGGGTGATATATAAAGTGCGAGACTTTTGGCAACAACTGTGTTTTTTGAAGTCAGTTATCAATTACATTGACGAGGAGACGTGTTCACAGACATCCCATATCGGTGATTTTGGTAAGAACTTGTACGCATCACCAATTTCCTTGTAACATAAATTGCAAAATCTCATTTTCCTGTTAATTCCTTGATGTCTACCGGTTTATATTTCCAGAGGACGAAAAGGCCCTCGTACTTTAAATTTATCTATACGTGAAAAAATCTAATAAGACAATTCAAGGTTAATTGTAAACAGGGTTTTTATTGCCAGCACCTTCCTTTAACCACACGAAGGATTGGACTGAGCATACAGCATATTCGAACCCCCTTTTGTAGCTCCAAATAATGTGATATTTCATTTCCTTTCCCCGACACGGAATAAATTGATCTTATCATCAAAACGAAATCGACAGATCATCTAGAGCTAGTCTATACGTAAGGCATGTTCTGTCTACAGAGTCAAGAGCATTTTGAAAATTCATAGAATCGAACCGATGAACGTATTTTCTCTTTAGCAAAATTTCATTATCATAATTTACAGGCCTGAAAAGTCGAATTGAGTTTTGTCCTATAAATGATGTGTTATGTAAAGTTAGTCGCTCCAAACTTAATGATTACTTATTGAGTCAGTATTATCTGTTCAGTATCCCCCCACATAAATTAGGAATCAGTCAGTAACCTCCAACATAAATCAACCATCACAACAAGTCACGGTCACGGTCATGATAAAGACTAAAAGTTGTAGAGCTAGAGCAGATTTATTGTTAGTGATTACAAATTAATATTATTAGCATTATTAATAAGTTGATAATACAATCACTTAGTCGAAATCGTAAAATTCATTGGAAACCACATTGAAATACTTATAAGGTAGAACGCTACTCCCTCATTTGTGAGTTTTTTTTTTACATGTGCGCATATTTTAGCGCATATACCAGTAGCACTATTTTGTGTCAAAATTTGTCTACAATTATTCGTTTTAGTATTAGTCAACAGTGTGTGAACTTTTTTGGTTCACTGATTTTTTAGAAAACTGGTAAAATAATATGAATAAGATGCTATTTAGACCACGATGACAACACATTTTGAGTCGTTAAACATCCACTAAACATATTGTAATTTTTAATACTTCAAGTTCTTTGTAAGACACTTCTTCGTTTTTTTTTTCAATCTATGTCACCGAGCGAAATTTTGAAATATATCTTTGCTGGAAATAATAGTCAAACGCCCTAAAATAGAAAAAAAAACATGCTATTTTATTGATCGATTTTCTCTAAACTGTGTACGGTGACCCCAAAATTGTATTCATTTTTTTAAAATCCTTGTAACATGATATATGAAATTTGTGAAAATAGAGCAAATGAAAATATCTTTCACTTGTGTGTATACCGGCGTTTACAAGCCAAGTGAGCTTTTTCATCACGCTATGACGTCATAATACTAAATTTCCCGCCATTCTATGCGCGGTCATGTCTTCACGCGTGATTTAGCGAGACTTAACATGTTATAGTGTAATGCGAGATTGAGATTGCTACGCGAAGTGGTAGGTTGGGTAACTGGTTGGTGGTAAAACCGGTGAATATAACCCGGGAATATGGATTTTTCGTCGCCTTTTGATGTTATGGGGTTACCTAGAAGCGACCTGGAAAACTACGAGGTAAGTAAAGCAGCGAAGTGGATGGCAATTGTTGGGAATGTTGTTCCCACGCCGCGGCACGGTATCCCTTGGTGATCTTTCCCATCCGACTCGTTGGCGATCGGAGTTAGACTATGAACATATTTATTTTAGACGTTCGCAAACACGTGTAATGATCATGGCCATATGTTTAAGGTTGCGAATGCGGCAACAGTGTGGGCAGTTGTCGATAGATTCATACCGTATTTAATGAAACTGCTTCACAACAGATTTGTGAATTCGACCAAATGTCGGATATGATCTGATCCACTGTTGTCATAATCTGCTGCGACAATGACGCTCAAAATAGCAGTGATTTTGACGTTGTGACGTAATCTTTCGCTTTCTAGTAGATGCGCAAGTAATCGTTAAATGCTGTAATCTTGAATTATATTTTGTCATTTCGAGCATGCCATTATTAATTTCAAACAACATACGGTAATTTAATATTCGAAAATATATTCAGGTGACAGTTTATAATCAAGTCTAACATGGTTACACGTATGCCAGGATATTCTTGAAAATAACATTTCCTAGTTGTAGTAACTCTTATCAGGCACCACACCAATAAATGCACATGGCTAAGCAAAATGCCTGTGTAGCCATGGTTTTGTGTCGTTTTGGTTCTAGATAGGGTCTAGGCTTTGTCTGATAGATGATGTCATGTACATTGAGGCTGTGTATGCACCTGCGTATATAGCCCTGCGTACAGTGCTGTGTGTACGGGGATAGATGTCCCCACCACAGCCCCTGCGTACCTCCATAGACAAAGTCCGGGACTTTTAAAAATATATTTTTTTTAATGAAATAACATGCCCAGGTACCAAAAATGATGATCGATCACCAAGATATATCCAGAACTCCCAG